CCCTCCCTCCCTCTTTCTTTCTTTCTTTCTTTCTTTCTTTCTTTCTTTCTTTCTTTCTCACTTTCTTTCTTTCTCACTTTCTATGGCATATACAGCACCTTTTAGATTCTCAGTTTTTGTATGTCTCTTTCTTTCTTTTGTATTTTTCTCTTTCCCCCTCTTTCTTTCCCTTTTCTTTGTATTTCCCTTTTTTCTTTTTTCTTTCTCTCCTTTCTCTCTCTTGCTCCCTCCATCCTTTTTTCTCTTTCCTCTTTCTTTCCCCTTTTTCCCCAACATACATACCTCTTATATTACGTTTTTTTCACTAGTAATATAATCCTTCTTCCCAACCTAGTAACACGCGTGGCTGTTTCAGCTCATTCCCCGGACACGCTTGGTCTAAATTCAGCACGAGGGTGCTGCTCTTTCAAAGGGCCTTGACGGTCTGGCCCACCGACCAGTTTCTTCCTGTCCATTAAGATTTAGGCTCCTAATCTGGGGCTGCACCCAAAGAAATCTTTTTCACTGCTGGGGGGAATCCTAAATTCCAGCTTTCTGACTCAGGATGATGGGTCCAGAGGCTTCTTTTCAAGTTCAGCTTTTTAGAATCAGCGCCTTTGTGTTTTAAGGCCAAGGCTTCCCATTGCCTCTGTCCCTCTCATTTTCTTCCTGTGGACTGAACTTTGGGAAGTGATAAGGTTGTAAATAAGGATAACAAATGAAATTGGCACGTAATCAGTCATGATCAATCGAAAGAGACCAGCTTTCCTTTCCATTTGATGTTTTCTTTTCAGCCCCTTTCTGCTGGAAAGTCAGGAATGTTGAAGAAGAGAGAGACGACTAAACAGACACTAAAGTAGCCAGGATAAAGAAACGGCTTAGCCAGCTTGTCTCTCTGTTTCAGTTTCCCCGTACCCCAAGGTGTCTGTGTTATCTAGAGACAAAGGAGGGTCTTGAATATGTTCTGTTAACGTTAGAAACATCATCCCCATCACCAATTTCTTTCACGGTGCAGAATAGAGAAAGGATCACCTGGTGTCCACCTTTCCATCTGTATTCTGCTCCTGCCAGGTACTGGCAGGTACAAAAAAATGGCTCTGGAAAATTCAGTGTCCTTTTGCTATAGATATACAGGAAACCCTCGGCTTATGTCGATTCGTTCAGCAACCGTCCAAAGGTACGGCGGTGCTGAAAAAATGGACGTACAACCGATCCCCAAAGTTCCAGCCATCGCAGCACCCCCGCGGGCACGTGATCGCCATTTGCAGCTTTCTCTGCCAGCTTCCCACAAGCAAAGTCAATGGGGCAGCCAGCAGGAGAGGTCGCAAGTCACTCCAGTAAGATGCTCCGACTTGCAGCACCCCCCCCTCCTGCAGCCTCCGCCGGCCCTCCCAGGCCTCACCGCCCTCCTGTGGCTCCCCCACACTCTTTACCCGGGACTCCCACCACTTCCCACTTAACAACCTTGGCAACCGGGTCTGCAGGAATTGTCGTCGCTAAGCGATGCGGTCCCGCTTTACGACGTCATCGCTTAGCGATGGAACTTCCAGTCCCAATTCTGTTGCAACCTGAGGACTACTTGTAGAGATACAGATGATGTTAATTTTTGCCTGTTGTTCATATCTTTCTCCCTGCTGTCCCCATTTATGTCAGTTAAGCGTTTTTGATGTTGGCCGATGTTTAATAAACAAAGCTCCAACTCTGTTTTTTGCTGGCTGAACTGAATGGGGAGTGTCTTGCTCTGATCTGGATGTAGGAATCAACTGGGTGTGTGCTGGGAGCAGACGAAGCAGGAAGTGACCCACGGTCATTTTCCAGATGTTTGGGCCTTTTATTGCATCCTTTTGTTTTGGCCCCAGATGCTGACAGCTCAGAAGAGGACTCGGACGAATGCCGCTGCCTGAACGGGCACTGTGTCCGCACCCAGCAGGGCTTTGTGTGCGAATGTCCCTCGGGCTTCCAGCTGGACGCCACTCGCACCCGCTGCCTGGGTAAGAGGGGCGGATGGACGCTTCCCCACTCGTGTGCTGCCCTGATATTCTCGGCCAGGTGAACCCTTGAAAGCACGTTGTAGCGAGTGATGAAATCCATTTCACAATCTCAGGATTATTAGTTGCTCCTGTGGAACCTCTGGGTTCAGTGTAGTCTATCTCTGGATGCCAGCAAACAGGCTCAGCCCTTTGTGACATCTTAGTCACGGCTATATAGTTTGTTTATAGGTTTTCCTATATGGGCTTACTGTTACTGTTCCTTAGAATTTTGTTTTAAATTCACAATTTAGCCATCGAGGCTAGGATTCCTGAGTGGTCTCCCATCCACTCTGCTTAGCTTTGGTGATCCTGCTTAGATTCCTGAAATCACCCAAAGACAGCTCGGAGCTGCTGGGTAGGGAAGGCTGTTTCTTGAGGCAGCTGTGCAACAGCTGTCAGAAAAAAGATGTAAGAGCAGATAAAGTAGCCTGATTCAGGAGAGCAATTCTTACGTGTTGCCATTCAGCCCAAGCTCTGCACCCTGCACCCACAACTGTCCCCCACTTAATGGGGACATACTTCAGGCATGCACGCCTGGTGGGCTTTTTTGTGACTTGCATTCCCACCACAAATTACACCATACACTACACCAGTGTTTTTCAAACTTGGCAGCTTGAAGATGTGTGGACTTCAACTCCAGAATTCCCCAGCCAAGAGCTTAAAGACTTTTTAAAGTCATTTTTAAGCATCTTTAAGCCTTAAAGTTGCCAAGTTTGAAAAACACTGCGCTAAACCATCACCTAAGCAACTAGGCTGAATTCTCAAAACACTTTAAGCCACCTAAGAATGAGCCAAGGTTAAACCTAAGCTAGCTTGGCATGTTATGCAAATGCAGCTACTTAATCTGTTAAGTGACCTAGTTACTTTAAACATGTTCGGTGAACACACAGCCTCTGTGTGTGGGCTGGGCGAATGGCCCATGCTTGGCGCATTTATTTTTGCTTAGCCTTCCTTGAGACACACGTTTCTAGTCCTCACTGTTCTTGAGGCTGGCTTTGAAAGGTCTCTGCCCCCTTTCCTTCCTTCATCCCCTCTCCTCTGCTTCATTTTTGCCTCCCTTTCAAAAGGGTAAGAGAAATTCCCCAACCAGTTAGCAAATTACAGAGCGCCTTTGGGCATCCTGGGGAAGGCCTGCTGACAAATCAAATCTTTGTCCTCATGAACTGGGAATCTCTTTTTGATGCTCAGTCGAAATCCTCCCTGCCCTTTCTCTCAAGTTTTCCTCCCCTGTGTGAGAATTTCCCATTTTTCAGCCTCCTGCTCCAAGTAAGAGTCTCAACACAATTCCCCGGGTGGTGTTTTTGGGCGGATTTCCCCATCAGAAACGGCAGAGGGGAAAAAAAGCAAAGCGCAGGATATTTTTTCTGCCCAGGTAGAACGTTAGAAAATGGTCGAGGAAGCAACCTGGTCCACCTCCCCCTGTCTTCCTTCCTTTTAGATATCGACGAGTGCCAGGAATTAAACCAACGGGGCCGGCTTTGTAAAACCGAGCGCTGCGTGAACACGAGCGGTTCCTACTTTTGTACCTGCAAGGCGGGCTATTCGCGCTCCTGGCCTCGCGGAATCTGCATTCCCCAGCGATAGCGCGTAGAACCCACCACCGTGGAAGGGCAGGGGACGTGGGCATCGGAGAGCCAGATTCTTCTCTGCCCCCCGGCCATGGTGAGCTGCTTCTCGCTGCCCACTGTTGGAAACTGGATACTGGGCTGGGAGCACCTTTTTTCCCTAAGTTCAGCAAGGCGGTTCTCACTTTATTAAGGACCTTTTTTGAAAAAAAAAGTTGTACCAGCTACGATGAAGGGGCATTGATTTTGCTATAGATTTTGTACCTATCCGCGTTTCTGTTCCTTTAACCCGCTGGATTGTTAGGGTTGTTGTTTTTTTTAAATGCAGTTGGTTTGCACTCATTTCTATAGGATTCAGAACTAAAAAACTTTTTTGTACATAATAGACATTGATGGAAGGAGAATAAAAGAAGAAAACTTTGAAATTAATCAGCTAATTAAAAAAAAAGGAAATTGCCATAAAAGTTGACTGTGTCTGATTCGCTCTCGGCAGCAGGAAAAAGAAAGGCTTTGACTACAGCATGGGGCATTCAGCATTTTCAGGCCAAAGCAGGCTTATCCCGACCCAAACGTTTATTTTTTAAACAATCACCCCAAATCTTGTCTGATCTCTGTGATTCTGCAGGAATGCCGATATCTCTAAAAGTTATGGCCCTTTCTGTGCTCATTACAGCAAAACGCCTTAGCTTGTGGGTTCCTGTCACATGTCCCCACAGTTTGGTCCATTCATCCAATTTTATAAGTTTGCACAATATACTAAAACTAGAACCATAGGATTGGGGTTTCATCACCCAGTGCATTATATAAATACAAGTTTATATAGTCAGAACTATTTTTTTACATACAAGGAGGAGATATAAATGAGTTTTGCAGAAGCCCAAGGCTGGCAGAAATACAGGGGGGGAAAAAGGGAAAAAATGGGGGAGGAGAATTGTAGAATCATAGAGTTGGGGGGCTACTCAGAGGTCATCCATTCCAACACAGTACTTGGTCCTGCAATGAATGCAGTGAGGAATGAAAGTATTCTGAAAAGCACAGGGCAGAGTGGATATCTTCATGGCAGATTTCCACTACAACAGGGTGATATTGCCTCTGTCATTTGCAAATTTGTAAAATGAAGTTCAGATAAATAAACCCTGAGAAATGAAGTGCTGTGGTTTTTATCTTGGCCTCCAAAACTGGACACAGAGGAGGCAGCGTGTACCATCATATTCCAAACTAAACAAACTTTGAAGACTGGCAGGTTGATGCTTAACAAGGTTGGAATGGTTATGTCAATCAATTTCCCAGCTTCGGCACTCTGGACTTCAATTCCCAGAATTCTCTGCTGTGGCCTTGCTGACTGGGAATTACGGAAAGTGAAGTCCACACTTCTGGAAGTTTGGGGCTTCCTCAGCTGGGGGAAAATGGAAATATACAGGCCAAATTGCACCTTCAACTGCATATTGGTCTAACCTAATGTTTTTCAACCTTGGCAACTTGGAGATGTGTGGACTTCAACTCCCAGAATTCCCCAGCCAGCCATGCTGGCTGGGGAATTCTGGGAGTTGAAGTCCACACATCTGCAAGTTGCTAAGGTTGAGAAACACTGCTGTAGACAATCACAGCTTATTTGAATAGGATTGCATTTGGCCACCCCATCAGTAATGGGATTAATTAGTCTCTGTCTCTGCCAAGTAAATCTGGATTTTCATTCGCAAGGGCACCTGCGCCCTTAAATTTGTAGCGCTCTTCTAAAAAATACCCCACAAATACGGTGGCATTTCCAGAACTGCTAAACCAGCTTCCCCATCAATTGGGACTCTTCTAGGTAAATGAACCTAAGTTCTCCAAGTTCTACTGGCCATGATTACTGGAAATTCTGACCATGAAGTCCATGCACCTGATGGCGTGTCTAAATTGGGCAAAGCAGGGTTTTTAAAAAATTATTTTATTTTATTGCAAGTTTAAAAAAAAATACAGAAATTTAAAAAAAACACGAGTGCAGAAAAGCAGTGTTCAGTCATGGTTTACTTAACCAACCACAATCAGTTGAGTTGCCCAACACGGAACGGTAAACTACGGCTCTAGGCGGCCTGCAGATGTTTTTCGTGTGGCTGGTTCCTATTAGAAATCAGTGTAATTTTTCTGAAGGAAGAGATTTGTGTAAATTAATTACACTAAATGTAATGGCTCTAACATAACTATCTGTGACTTATAACCACGCTCCAGGTTTCTCAAACTTAGCAATTTTTAGATAGATGGACTTCAACTCCCAGAATTCCCCAGCCAGCCGGGGTGAGGAATTCTGGGAGTTGAAGTCCACACATCTTAAAGTTGCCAAGGTTGAGAAACACTGCCCACGCTCATCCTTAACCCTAGCATTGCTACCAGCATAGCAGACTAGTGGTAGTAATACTAGTGGAGTCCTTGTTTAGCAACCACAATTGGGACCTGCAACTCAATTATTAAGCGTTGCTAAGTGAAACATCACAATGTAATGTTCTTACTTCAACTTTGCTTTATAGACCTGCGAAGGTTGTCAACGCAAGGATTGGTCGCAGAGTTTCTTTTTCATCACCATCGTAACAGTCGCTAAACGAGGACTACCTATTAGTATAGACTACTCAACCTGTCCAAAATAATTTTGTTATTTCTTAGATCAGTGTTTCTCAACCTTAGAAACTTTAAGAGGTGCAGCTGGGGAATTCTGGGAGTTGAAGTCCACACATCTTAAAATTGATGAGGTTGGGAAGCAGTGTATTAGATTTATATCCCACCTTGGGTGAGGTCATTTTTGATCAGCAACCCATCCAAATCTAGCCTGGGGCCCTCCCAACATGGCCGGCTTCAGGTTCCATACGACCATTCAGAAGGGAAGGCTGGTTGCACACTAACTCATGGCTGCACTCACAGGCACACCTGGTTGACACAACCACAGCTCCAGCTGCTGGCCTAAATCAGTAAAATATTAGAAGTGCAAGCATGCCCAGGGGGTATTATTGCTGGAGAATTTAAAGCTGGTATTCTGCTTCGAAACCCTGAGGTCAAGGGTAAGAATTTCTCTGGGGAAACCGCACAGATTAGCCAACATTTTCCCCTTCCTTCTTCCTACTTTAAATCTCAGTTGCATCGTCCCATTAAGAGGCTGAATGAAGTTTAGGATTAGAACGAGGAAGAGAGAAATGTATGCTTCTGCAAAAATAGTGAATTTCTTTAAAAAATAAATTTTAGAGTCACTTTGTCGCCGCCCAGAGCCACTTTGTGGGAGATGGGCGGCTACATAAATATGATAAATAAATAAAATAAAAAGCATTGCCCTAAACATAAAACTGCAAGAGGAGAAAATGCAGAAAAAAACTTCCATCCACCCTTCAGAAACTGAGTTTCCAGTCTCTATTCCTGGAGACTACAAGTCCCAGAGTGCACAGGGTGAGGGGTTCTTTTAAAAAAAAAGTACTGGGCCCCAAGGGTCACTGGGAAGTTCTGACTGGCGTGGCAAGGCCAGATCGTCCTCTGACGCGGACCCAGAGATAAAAAGTAGAGCAGCTCTACCGGCTGGAGAAAAGAGTTCCGGGTTCCTTTTAGAGAATCCCTGGGAATAAAAGCAAGCACCTTTAAAGTTTTGCGTTTTG